AGCCGCCGGGGGTGGGGATCAGGGAAGCCGCCGACAGGAGGAAGAGGAGACAAACTTGAGAAAGAAAGGGCTAAGGGGCAGGGGTCTTTCAAGCCTTTCCTCAAAGCCATGCTTTCCTCCATTCTATAATAGCTTCTTTGTATTAGCCCTAGACCACCATATCAAAACTGATTGGATTTGAACTTCTTAAAACATTCTAGTGCTTTGGGCTTAGAGTGTAAAATTTCTGCTATGCCTTTAATTCCCAGTGTTCTCAGCCCCCTACCATCCCAGTCTCTGTTTCCAACATGCTCTTCTGGCCTTTGTGTTCAGTCAGTCTTAATGTTCTGTCCCAGGACAATGGCCCATATTTCTTATCCCACCTTATGTGCTTCCACATATTCTACTCATTTCCTTCCTTTGCATGCTTCAAGCCTCAACCTCCCTTGCCAGAGAAGACCAGTCAGTTTTCTTTCTGTTCACATTGTCCCTGTAGATTTCCTTCATGGTGTTCGTATCATCTTTCACTTAAATTACCAGGGAGGTATTTCTGTTCAGATGTAAGTTCTTTGAGACCTAAACTACCCAACTCCCAGCACTGGACAGGTGGTTAGCAAATACTTTTGAGGGGATAATTAAATGAAGGACATACTTGCTTAAGGTTGTATAGCTGGAATTCCAACTCTGGCTTGTTGAAACCAAAGTTTGTGTTCCATGTAACTATATTTTTACTTGCCATTTAAAAAATTCTTTGAATTTTTGATTTATATCCTTGCATTTCAAGATTCTCCCCAAAAGAAGACAAATTACCTCTGTGTGGTTAGAGAAAAATAAAAACATTGACTAGACCCAAAGCTGGGGCCAGCTGAAGATGGTAATCTGAGTGTCTTGTTGTTAGTTAAGGTAGGGACAAGCTCAAGTGGGCATCATCTCAAAAGTCAGTAGTCTGTTCCCCTCTGGCTGATCCTGAGGAGGGATCTAAGCTCGAGTTGGTCTCTAAGAAAGAAGAGGATGGAACAGCTGTAGCCCAGATTCTCAGCCTCAGTTAGGAAAGGGAACCTCTTTTCTAAGATCTTACAGACTCCTACATGACACCTTGTCTTCTATTGTGTGTAGAGGACACTCCCAGGAACTATGCACAGCTCTCAGTGTGCACAACTATAAACATCAGGCCAGACCGGTGATAGGTAGGTTACATAAGTTACTGATTGCAGCAATAAGGGACCTTGGCAATTGCCTAGATGTTCTTCTTTGTGCAAAGGAAACTTCCATGCTGGGATGTCTCCCAGGAGAACTAGTGTAAGTTCCTCCCTTTCCTCTGGCCTTGCTCTTCCCTGTCCTTCCTCCCTCCCTCCCTGCAGCTGCAACTTCTGGCAGTGAACAGTTTCAAATATCAGGCTCATTCATCCTCCTGCTCCATAAATGTTTAATGGGTACCAGACCTGCAGTTGGCTGGATGCTGGAAACTGAAAGAACACACAGACAGGACAGGGCCTCTTCTCTAGATATGAAAGTAGGAAAAGAGAGTGTTGGCCAGGCTGCTGGAGATGTGACCATGGCCTTGGTGATCCAGGAAACTGCAATTTCAGAACAGGTAAGCTCTCTCTGTTCTCTGGACCATTTCTGAAGAGTGGTGGGTGATCTGTAGAAGTTCTGATCTCGTCCCAGACAAGAAATCAGCCTGAACTCTTAGTCTTAGTGCTGAGTGGATTCATTCAGTCCCTCTGGAGATGCTGACTTCTTCTGCTCTACAGATATGGCTTGCTGGTTCTACAGCTGATTGCCCAGGGGGCAAGATTGACCAGCCCACACAGACAGAGCCAAGCATGCAGTCAGGGCTACAGCTGTCCTTTAGAGCATTTCAAACATTTCTTCAGCCAGCAACACTGTTTTTTCATAGCAGTCCCTAGAAAAGGAATAAAGAACTGACAGCTCCATAGCAGGTTCCATGGTAGAGGTTCCTAGAAGGCAGACAAAAACTTATTATCATCAAGCAGAAATGGGCCATCTCACTCTTGTAGCACGAGTCAGCCCATCAGTTTTCAACTGCCTAGGTGCAGAGGATGGTGGCCTTGGTGCACATTTACCTAGCCCCATCAGCTTAGATTCTAGCTCCTTAATACAGAGACGTGCTTGCCAGGAGCTATTGCATCTCAGCAGCAGTTATGCTGATGGGCAAACCTTAGGGAAGATCCTGTGCTCATCCCAGATAACTAAATCACCCTTTTGGTAAGCAGGTGGCTCACCTCAACAGGCATCCCTTTTTGGGAGAAGTCATTGGGGACAAAGGAGCTTGAGGGAGTACAACTGGGAAGCAAAAAGTTCCCAGGGGGAACATCACCCACTTGTAACAGCAAACCAGCAATCTACCATACCTGCTAGCATTCAGTTCCTCTGTGAAGGCACAAAGGGAGGGAGTAGAGGGAGGCAAAGGATGAACCACCATTGTGGTATGAATCTTCCTCTAGGAAAAGAGAGTCTGGACTTTAAAAAGAATAAATAAATCTCTTGAAAAAAAATCTAGAAATAATTACTTCACAATATGTGAAAATGTCCCAAGGTCTAAAAATGTAAAACCTACTTGTCTAAGTAACCTAAACAAACCCCCAAAACCTGGAAAGTTATTACAGGATTCAAGAAAGTTAAAATGATAGTATTCAAATACCTTTCCGTCTATCTGGTGAGGGGGGAGTTAACCTATGGTTTTCCTGGGAGGAAGGGTGACAAAGAAATTCACATGCCATGCCCCGCTGTGGGTGCTTATGAAAAACCCCTGTGGGTTAAGCAGAAGGGACTCAAAACCACAGGCAAACAAAAAAGTGATGGATGAGGTGAGCTGAGCATCCAGTAGGGGTGGGGGAGATGATGGTAAAGAGAAGTAACTGACACTGAAGAACATCTCTATACAAACATTCTTAGCAGGGACCATGAAACTGATGGACATTGCTAAGTTTCTATGCACCTCTGGGTAAGCCTGTCTTCCAGAATGGCTTTTATTCCCATGAAACAGCTATTGTTTTAGATCACATCTTAAAACTCCAAAAAGCCTCCTCTTAGAGTACTGGTTCCTATAACAAATCACCATAAGTGTGTGGCTTACAGAAATTCGGGTTTGTTCTTTCTCTCATAATCTTCTGTCAGGAAACAAAGTCTGATGAGGGTCCTGCTGGCTTAAAATTCCTACATTCTTTTCTGGAGGATACAAGTAAGAATCTACCTTTGAGTTTTCCCTCTCTAAAATGTGCCACCACTCCTTGACTGGTGGCTTCTTCCTCCATCTTCAAAACTTACAATGGCAGGTTAAGTTTTTCTGATGTAGCTTCACTTTATTTCCTCTCTTCCTTCCTTCTTTTCTTTTCTTACTCTTGTCTGTGGTCTTCGCAGCGTATCACAGATGGCCTGATTGGCATCCCTTAGTCCATCTTCCACCTTCTCCTACCAAACTGGTCATTACAGGCAACTTGTCTAAGTGATGCAGCAAATGTGTCCCAAAATTAAAACCCTCAAAAATTTAAAATAATTTTATGAAAAAGGAACAAAAGGCAAACATCCTAGAACAAGGTCACACTAGTGTTTGCCATTGGCAATTGAAACCAGTAATTAGATATTAATAGGATTTTGAATCTTACCATGAATAAAAATGAATAAATTTCAGTTTTACAATAATATTTTCATATAAAATGATCTATTATTTTCCTATTTTCCATTTCATCACTTAATTATTTTGTGTTTCTTTTTAAAGAAAATTAACTTACACGGTGACCTCTTTCATAGAAAGCAAATGCTTAGTCTTGGTAACTTTTATAAGTATTGATAAGTACATTGTGAAAGCAAAAGTGATGCTATTATTTGGGGAAAAGCCCCCACTGAGCATGTGGCCAATTACCCAAGATCCTCCTTTTCCCAAGTTGAGAGCTATTAGCAGCTTATTCTTCCCTGTCCTGCTCTAGGGTAACAATGACGTTATGAATCAATGTTCTCTGTATTACAGCCATTTCCATCCTCATCAGATCTGCTGTGCTGATACACAGGAGATCTCATCAAGCTTGGCTTGTTCATGCTGCTGACAGTAAGATGGATTGGGAAGGCAATGACACCTTCTCTTAAGAGTCCAGCCACTCACTTCTGCTCTTCAGTCCTATGCTACCACAGCTGCACATGAGTATGGCAGGTCCTAGAGGAGATAGAAACTTTACTGAAGTAGGGGCTCTACACATACATTCTTGCTACAGTAGGGGTTTTCAGGGTTACACCAGCTCCTGTTAAGCAACTCCTCAACCACATTCCTAGAAGTAACCCCAATAAATTCACTGGTTTACCAAGTTAGCCTTGGACAGATCAATGCTTAGCTTTGTGGCTGGTATCCTGTATGCAGTGAAGGGACTTTTTCTCTTCTGGAAAAGTTAATATAGTGTAAAATATATTCAAAACAGTTTTGAGTATTTTTTCTTTTATAACTGGCATGTCTCTCACTCCAATCATGGAAGTCTTCCTAGGTGTGGTGGTGATATCTAAGTACTGAACATGGTTTTGTGTATGCTCTAAGAATAGTATTATTATCATGATCATCTCCCAGAGGTGTATCTAAAGTACATCGAGAAGTAAGGAAATACGTTTCCAGCCTGAGAATGTGGCTCAGTAATGGAGGACTTCCCTAGCATGTTCTCGGTTGTGGGTTCAATTCCCAGCACAAAGCAGAGACAGACAGATGGGGAGGGGAAGACTTGGAAGGGGTAACAGAGAGTGGATAAGTGAAGATACATCCACAGTCACTCACCTGTAGTCATTATAGAGTTAAATATCATAAGCCCCAAATAATTTAAGTTGCCTTTGATTAAATTGAGGCAAGGAATCATCAACCTTAATAACAGGAGCCTCTGGAAGACATTTGAGGCTTTCAAGGTAACAGATGAATTCACAATCAGCCTTTGTTTTGACGGGTAAAAGAGAAGCTCAGTAAATATTTAAATTCCAGTTATGATGAAGGTCACACAAATCTTAATTGTTTTTGCATCTCGATGGCATGCCATTTTAGATTCTTGCTCTTTGTAAAAGGCCAAATGCTTTATACAGATGAAGACTTTGACTTGTAACCTTGAGATCATGAGTCCTTGTTAGGAAAAAAAATGCACATTTGTCAGCAATTCATTGGGGACACCATCGCTCCTGACCTCAGATAGATTCCCCACTGAATCTGCCTTTGCTGTCTCGATTCGCTCCAATTAACTCAACAAGTGCAGAGCCACTTACTGAGCATAGCTGAAGGCATTCTTCTCTTTCAAAAGTTACTTTGTAACAGTAAAATAAAATTGCCTAACATATTCAATTTAAGTCATAAGGTGGGTTCCTCATTTCTGCTAAGTTACAGAGCTGTTTTCACATGGAGACTTAATGCTCTGGAGAGAACAGCCTCACTTGCTGCAGTGACACAATTCTACAGACTGACTGTCTTATCTGCTCCACCATTTTCCATTGGTTGATTCCTGCCATGGTGGCCATTCTTCTTTCGACAGTCATTTCAATGGTTCCTAACACTTCACTCTTCTAGTATTGCTGCAAACACAGCACATCCTCGTCTTTTGACATCCCTTCTTACATGGCTGTCTCCATTTCTCCAGATCAGTGATTCTCAAAGAGTGCTCCCTGGCCAGGGGCAACTGCCATTTACTGTGACTGATTGGAATAGAGACAGTCAGGGCCAACCCCTGATTTCCAGAGTGAAAAACTCTGGGATGATCCTACCATCTTGTTTTTCTACAAGCCTTCAAGGTGATTTTCATGCACTGGCCACATCGAGGATCATGAGATTAGAACTACAGAGCAGTGCAACTACTTAAATACGAGAAACTCCAGGTAGCTTTCCAAAAACTTCAATCTCTTCACAGTGTCAAGTATAAGATACATTGTTAAAAATAGATCTTAATCTTTCCATAGTTAGAAAAATCAAAGTTAGTTTCATGAATCAAATACATTATCAGATAATGTATAGGATTTAGATGAGTAAATCTAAATTTCAAATTTATATTCAAATATTAATATAGTGTTAAAGAGGTTTTAAGATATCATAATCTGTGGAAGTTGTGTGACACCCAAGGACACTAATGGAAGTTAAAGTTCTTTTCCAAACCTCTGGTCAGTGGCAGGATGATGGTGAGATCCTTGAGTCCTGGCCCAGTACACCTGAAACAAGAAACAATGCTGTGCTTTAAACAAAGAAAGCTATTGAAGGATTTACCACAAATTTAGAAAATCTTAATATGTAAAGTACTGTGGTAATGATTTCGAAGGCAGTAAGAACTAAATGTGTATCCTAGAATATTGTCACAGCCAAATAATAAGAAAATATTACCTGAAAAGGTGGTGCTCTGAATGTCTCATAGTTTTCATTTTTTATTGCAAAACATGATTTCATTATATTTAATATTATAACATGAAAGAGAGGTCACTATGTTAATTGATATAAACCAAATGTTTGTCAGAAAAATAATGATGAACATAGCAGTCATGAATATAATGGGGACACTACTACAGAAGATGACCAGTGGGAGAGGATGGGGCAAGTGAGATAGGGATCATATTTCCTTTATGCTTGGGTGGAGATGCCATAATGATAGCCGCCATTGTGTATCATTAACACATGTGTGCAAAGGCAAGCTACTGATGCACATGGGCACTCCCAGTACAGTGCTTCTGCACAGTTCTATGTGCTCTCTACACATGTCTATGGTCTATATGTCCTTAAGATTATATGTTGATCTCCCACAAGTTGTGATAAAAATCACACAAGAGTTGTCTGTTTTCTGCTTTAAAAAGAACATTTAGTAAACATTCTTTCATGTTTTCACATTGCTATATAATTTTCATAACCAATTTATAGCTGTATAATAGACTAGGAAAAATGCCAAGACTTATTTAGCTGTGTTTTGAGAGATATTGGTGATGTAAGTTTTTCTATACATAT